GTTGTGAAGCGTTTGTAATAGTCCATTTTCTTAAATAAATAAATGATGCAGTCTAACTCATGACCAAAACAAAGGGCTAATAGCTTAATTTGTCCACTGAATAAAATACAGCTTTTGAAGCCTCTCAAATCATGAAATATCAGAAAAATGGTCTCAACAAGAAAATAGGACATGATATAAAATTAGACTATGTTGAGTGATGTCCTTTATCCATCTAGTCCGAGCAATAGAAAATAGCTTTTTATGGCCTCAAAGCCAACTGCCTATGTCTGGAGCATGTGGCTCGCACAAATCACCTATAAAAAAATAAAGTGAGCATTTAAGTCTTTATTTTTCACTTTCTACAGTATGTTAACTCTGTCTTATGGTATCTTTTGCCCTGGTCTAACTACATGAGTCAATTCATAAGGAGCAGGCAGAACCTTGGACAGCTCCAAGCAGAAACTTGTCACGAGGAACTCTGGTGCTTAACTGAGGTCTGTCATTACAGTTCTGCACTGAGCTCAGCTAAAGCTCGGATGTTAACATGGATGATTTACAACAGATGTTCACTGATCCAAGATAGAATGAACAAATATCAAAGTGCTTTTTGCCAATTCTGGGAGGCCACAAAACTTGGTTCCACTTTTACTTGTTAATATAAAAATGCAACAATAGCGATGTTAATATGGAAGAATAGAATTCAGTGACCAACAGGTTGCTGCTTTTAAATCAGGTTGATCATTTTGGTCAGGTTATCATTATTTGTTCCAATCACAACCTGTGTGTTTATGTATACTGTAGAGGCTTGGTGGTTAAGAAAAATCCTTACTTTTCCCAGTTATTCCATCTCATTGTCTTTCATTTTCTTATATTCTTATTTTCAGCTTGTAGTTGTATTTTTTTTTTTTTAACACAATTGGGAATTGTGTGCTAACCTGCATGATATTCTGGAGCATTATCATTCTTCGCAAACATTCCTTTCCATTTAACATCCCGTCCTTTTAACCTGTCTTCTTGACATCTGTTCCCCACTATAAGATTTACTAACACTGCAAATTTCATTACATTCTTGCCCAAACAAAGTTAGCCCCTCTGACTACCTAATTGACATTCATTCCCCATTATAGTTCAGTCCTCTGGATCTTGTGTCCCTTCCCGTTTGTCTTGGATAATTCAAATGCCCAGATTGCTACTCTGAGGGAGCAGCTCAGAATCTTTGCAAAGGTCTAGGTCTTGAGCCTAAAACTCAAAAAATTGCAGTAGAATAAATATGCATTCCATGACTATACTTGTTTATTTCTGTTACTGGAGTCAGTAAAAAAACCCTGATTTCTCTAATGTTGTTCAGTGCCTTATTACTTTGAATATTTTATCATTCTTTCTCATACATTAGTCTATTTCTTACACACCAAATTAAAACACATCATGAAGGAAGAAAATCATTATGTAAAACATCCGACCAGCAGAATAAGAAAAGACCAAGCAAATTTCAAGTTTTAAAAAGCCTTTTTTCTGATATGTTACATTTCAACTAGACAGGAAGTCCTATACTGAAGGTGTATTATAGTAGAACTAAGAAGAGGAATCCACAAGGTTGGTGCCAACTTGAAAAAGACCCTTTTTTCAATAAGCACCCCTGCATGTTAGCCTTTGAGATAAGTATACAGGGTTATGTCTCAGATATTGTATGGAATACGTGAAGACGCACATATGGGAATAAATAATCCAATTCAAAGAAGGGCTCTATAAATCTTAAATTGTTTCATCAATCCATGTAATTGATCCTAAAAGAAATCTGTCACTTGAATGACTAGATGTGTTATGAAACTGCCAATGGCCAATTTTGCTGTGCAAATGAACCATCACAGATAAAATGCTTCATGTTATCCAGTATTTCCTCAGTCATAATACTTCATTAAAATTAGATCATGCATTCATTACTCAGCAACATGCTGCATAATCAAATGGTAAAAAAGGACATATTAGAAGTATTTAACCTCCAAGTCTCAATACTTAGGAAAATCAAGAAAAGCCCATTATCCTCATAGCTTTGGAGGATGGCATTTAGAATGCTTTTGGCTGACAGTAGTGAGAAACAGGATGCTGGATTGGATGTAGGCATTCTAACCCATCCAGCAGAGTTCTAATTAAACAATGTACATCTAAATGTGAATTAGCCTGAAGAAATACTATTGTCTCTTTGCAGGTTTTTGACTGTTTCTAGTGTTAATGCATATTTCAAAATGCATTTGTTTCTGTATCCTTTCTACTTCTGTCTTTTAAGGTGTCCTGGGAAAGTGTCTTTTAATAAAAATTTTCTTTTGTCATCTGAAGAGGGAGAATTATGGGAAATTAAAGCAGGATTAAATCCAACTGTCTGAGACAACTAGAAGACCTAGTTGGAAAATACATATAGAGATATATGGTAACCAATGCCAGGCCACAGCAGATACTGCAGTTGATTCTTGCATCATCCAAATGTAGGTCTGATGGCTGCTCTCATGTCAGAGAAGATATTTTGGGTAGTGTTTATGAAGACCTTTCTCCTGTGAATTACTTTATGCTAAGAAGTCCAATGACATTTGGGTTTCAGCCTGGAACTGAACCTAATCTCTTTCCCCAAAGCACATCACACTCTCTGAAGTGCCAAACCAGTATCAAATAAGTTATGATTGATACTGCAAACATTTCCATTAGCTTCCATAGTTCAGTGTTGTCTATGTTTTCTTCCACATGATGATGGAAAATACTGATAATAGTTAAGTCAGACTAGCAATTCTTTACAGCTAAAGTTACAATTGGGTTACAATGAGAAAAAGTCAACTGTTATATTCTCTTTTTGCATTGAAGGTATTCTCTTCCATGGTGGCATGACCTTTGCCAGCAAAGGAGAAAATGCTGAGTCCCATCCAATGAGCAATTGATGAGAAAGTAGAATCTTCCGTTCTGCCAATTACAGATAGTAATTGCTATGTAATGAAGTTAATGTTTTGTAGAATTTATAACCTGATATTAATGGGGGCTCTGTTCTATCCTTTGACTTTCTACTTCATTTTCTCCTGGCTTTTTCACAACAAAAGAAACAGGACAATATGTGAAGGCTCATTAATTCTATTTCATTTTGATTTCCCATCCCCTTCTCCCCACCCTTCCAAAGAGCCCCCCTCCTATTCCAGTTCTCCTAGAGGTTAAACAAGAGCTATGTCATCAAATCTTTCCATAAACTCTGGTTCATGTGAGGGTGAAAAGTTGGCTCTACAGAGAATCTACCACTGAAGAAATACCCTCTTTTCAGCTTCAGTTCAGATTACTTTAATAGCTGGGCTATTTTATGGCTTTTTTGATCACCAATTACACCACCCAGAACAATAGGCCCAGAACTTAAAGAAGCAGGCCTCAAATTTGCCAATGTGTTTCGTAGCAACACTTTCTTTGAAAGTAAGAATAGCCTCATTACAAGAATGAAGATGGATCAGGCCTTTAGCAGTGCTCTTAACTTCAGGACAATATGTTAACCTAATGACTCCCATTCCCCTCACCCTCCCACCAATTCTTACTGTATTATGCTGACCCTTGGCTGCCCTTTTAACACTGGGTCTGACCTTTCCCTTCTAAAAGGAAAGCACTCTGGCTCCCACTATCTTTAATGTCCTGGCAGGGTTGGGGAGAGGGTTTTTTTAAATCTTGCTGACAATAGGATGCAGAAAAAATAAACCAGAAAGCAGCAACATGACAAACTGAAGAACTCCAGAGTAAGGAAAAAGCATCTCCTTGTCCATCTGTTAGTCTCTAACTGGGTGGAAATATATAACTGAGACAATTGCAGCGTTTCTCTTTTTGCTTAGGAAATATTAACTAGACAAACAAGCTAGTCAGATAGGAAGTGAGAGAAAAATGCACTAGCTGAATAAGATGACACTTTCTTTTATTTCCATTCAATAGATTATGCAAAATGCCTATTTGAAAAAGGAGCTGAATTAAACAAAACATATATTCTTAATATCTTAATTTCTCTTCGCTGATTCTCAGGATAATGTTTCATACTACAATGATCCCAAGATGTATTTTTTTTTATCCAGAGAAGTCTGAGTGATACCTCCATAATGATAAAACTAATATATTTGCATGGGAACTCTACATTTTGATCATCGTTACTGATTAAAGCTGCCTAAAATTAAATGTGGTGATAAAATCATAGTACATTTTTCTGGTATCTCTTTTTTTCATTTTCCATTTTTATAAATATTGTAGTGAATCTCCTACCTGATCTTTCTAGTCAAGTTACAATATTGGCCATGATGCAAGCTTCTATTGGTAGAAGTCATATTATAAGGAAAGTTGTCCAATTCTCTTTTTCCTATGAGCTACAGTATATCCAGTGAGATAGGGGACATCTAGAACAATTTTTTCAAAGAAGCGGTTGCAATAACAAGGGACATCTCTTCTACTGCCAATTAAACTGATATTATATACTTGTCTTGGTGTTTTTGGATCTAGGCCTCAATGTGGAAATTGTACAGGATAATTTTGCATACCAAACTAATTAAACTCTGCAGTGAGCCAGACTTCATATACAACACATTCTATTTCAATTTTAGTTTATTTTGACCAAAAATTATCAACCTAATCTTCATCTTGAGAAGTAGACCATAGCATTGTAAAGGACTTAATAGTCATAATTCTCCATTCTATAAAATTAAGTTGATTTAATATAATTACACATTTTTCTATCAAAATCAGTCACATAATTAATTCAATCAGTCTAGATCTTAAACTAATGCTTGCAAATTTGAAGCACTGGACATTTCCAACACTGGCATTTTGAATGCAAAATCTGAATTTATATTTTGTTCATAAATTCTTCTTTTTTGGAAGCTGTTGAACATGAGGTTTCTGTATCCTTTCAAAAACAACATACTGAGACACACCAGCTATCAAAAACTATCAGATAAGAAAAGCTGATTAGTTGTTAAAAGGATGTTTCTAATTTCTCACCCATAAATCCACTGGAAACCCACCTTCATGTTCTTGACATGGGTTTGAATTACGTGATTAGGCTACTGAGGTAAATAAGGCTACAATGCATGGCTCTCCAAACTACTGCACTGTGTGTTCTGATGTTCATCTTTTAATGTTCAAGTCTTCCCCACGTTGTTATTGTTGGGTTACATCAAGTGCCAATAGGTTAGCCATCTGGAATTTGTCATCTAATGAAATAATTTGATAACAGTGTTTAATTTTCAAAAATGATGTTCATTTTTTAATTTCATAATGTAGAGATCACAAAAGGTTTAAGGATTGATGGAATTAATAACCATTTTAATAAAAAAGTAAAATAATTTTTCACAAGCACTGATTAGCTGAAGCATAAAAACAGTTAGACATTTAATCTTAGATAATACTATTAACTGATACCTGAACAAGGCCCTCACAAGTAACCTTAATGGTCCAGATTGTACCTGGAACCATCATCTCCATCCTCTTAAATTCCATGTGAAAAATGAAATAAGACACTAAATGAAATAAATTATAGGCTTAAACAATATTACAAAATTAACAGAATGTTCTTTATTATATGCAGTCCTTCAATATGGCTGAAACCCTGACACTGGCATACAGTAGTATTTAAGAATGGTCTAAATCTGATTATTAACATGCATTTTTTTCTTCTCTTAACTGCTATTCTACTGTATATTAGCTATCTAATTACTGACCAAACCATTTGACCATCTAGATCAAGAGTGTCAAACTGCTGGCCTGAAGGCCGGACATGTCACAAGGAAACTGTGCTCACCCCATTGCTGGCAATGGGGAAAAACCTCCAATATGTCATGTGACATCGCAAGTTTGACATGTCTGATCTAGACCATGGGTGTCAAACTCGCAATGTCACATGACATATCATGACGTATCATGACTTTTTTCCCATTGCTGGCAATGAGGTGGGGCCAGCAGTTTGACAACCCTGATCTAGATTGTCCTATCTGTTATCAATTGTTCTCCAAATATTGAAAGCAAGGTTCCAGAAATGTTTACAAACTCTCAAAGCTTTGGATGTTGCTCCCAGACCACCTCCAAAATTTGATGTCAAAGTGTAATTAGTAAGAATGAGGGAGGAAATTATTAAATATACAGGGAAATATACATTTAATTAAATTAAAAATGAATTTGATCATTTTTAATTTTCAGCTTAGTCCCTTGCTAATTTTTGACAGTAGTCTGCAGCACATGCCTCAGACAATAAGTGTGGACCTTGGACTGAAAAACTTGGTCACAGCTGAATAAGAAATGGCAGTTTTTGAACTTCACTCTTCTGTACAATAACCACATAGTACAGCTGTAATTTAACTATTCAGTTATCCTAATCAATAATTATTCTCATATCTTATTTGTTAGTTTCTCATAGGCTTTGGTTGACCACTGCAGAAAAAAACACACTGGTCTAGATAAGGGGTGGTCCTTTTTTTGTAACTCCCTTTTAAAGTTTAATTTCAATCATATTTTAAATCTGCAAAGTTACTAGTTGTCTGTGCCAGGAATTATAATAGACATGAGTGGGTGTCTAGATATCTCCTTGACATGTAACACTAATTCCCAACTACCTCTTAAGAGCCATGCCTGCCAGGCAGGGTGGCAGAGTATGTTAAAATAATTTGTAATATTGCATCACCTAATTTGCAGAATCTAATTTCCACAAAATAAAAAAAGTGTTCTAACTGTGACTGATAGGCTAAATGCAGTTCTTAATTTATACTTCTTGCATCTTTCATATTAATAACAGTCACATGTTCATTGGCAAATTTCAGCTGCATTGCTCTATCATCTAGAACAATGAATCACTCCCAGAATTTAACAATTACTGATGCAAACAAAGTCGGTTAATCATAATAAAGAGATGTAATATAGATAATGCAGTATCTGAAGAAGAACTTAGATTATGAATCATCATCATAAGCCAAAGATAATTAAGGCCTCTTTGATTAGCTCTTACAATTGCTGTTCTCCACAAATACTTTCCCCATTTATACTTTACTATAATTTGGACATATTGTTCCCCCCACTAACTATGTCTTATCTATCCAGTAGGAAGCATTTTGATTTAGTAGATGTGTAATGTGAACACTGAATAAAATCTGTGCCAGAGTTAAAGAAAACTATTGAATTATTTTCCGGAATCCATCTATGAAATTATTAATTTTATGATAGATATAATTTTATCTATATACCCATTCTTAAGTAGCATTTATCCTTGTTGGAAATACTAGCCTAAGTTGTGTTAAAGCCAGACTCATGCTTAGAATGCTGGATTAGAAACCATATATAAAAGTTTTCAACTTTTAAATCCTGGATGTTCCCTTGCAAAAATTGTGTAAAAGTTAATTCAAACATTTAACACTTTTTCTTGACTTTTATTAATTCCTAAGACAAATGCTAGTATTATAGAAAATTCTTTGTATTTTGGAGGGAATAGGGTGTGGAAAGAACTAAATCTTAGTATTTCCTCTATAACGATCCATATTTTTATGCCAGTTTTGTCTATGTTCAATTTTTCTTGTTATACTCAATTCCATATATTATACATCCCATTACATATATGATAATTTCTGAATGAATTGTAATTGCAACCTTTTTAAAATTTAAGTTAATATAGAATGAGCCCAGTCATTCTTCATGAATTTAAAAACATTATGTACCATTTATTTGCGTATCCATTTCTTCAAATATTACTTCATTTTAACTATAATTAAATTATATAATTATATATTATAATTAATTTTGCTTATTCCTTCCATTTTGTTTACAAAAGTGGCTGACTACGTACATCATAATGTTCACTCATGGTATCAACGTGGCAGCCATACAAAAAATAATTCTAAAGGAAAATTGCACTGAAACTTCCCATAATACAATTATTTGGCTATGAGGCATCATGTATATGTTTGTGTGTGCTTTTGTGCTTTTGTGCTTGTGCATACAAAAAAATCTACCTTTTATTCATATTTAAAGAAGAATTGAATCCAGTATCCATATATATCTCTACATGCTCATTTGCACTTATTATTTATATCTTCATTTTTTTCCTACTATATATGAATGCAAAGGTAATGGGACAGATTTGTAATAGCCAAATAGGCAATTTGATCCACCAAATTCATATGATGGCATGAACTGGAATACATATCAGTCAATGTTTAAAGACTGTAACCAAGCAGTGGTTAAGAAATGTGTCATCAGCAAATTGCTGAAACATAAACCCTTTTTTTTTATACTGTTCACCTTAGGAAAGATTTAGCAATGTTGTGATTTACGAAGGGCAAGCATCAACAATTCAGTAAGTGAAAGTATTTATATCTAATAGCTACTTTTCAATGTAGTTTATAGTGGAAAGTAATGTTGCGTTTCGTTGTGCCTGGGAGATGACTTTACTGAAGATTAGTTATACTTGCTGACAATTTCAAACTTCAGCATGCTGAACTATATTACTGTGCTTATCTGTATTTAACCTTAGGTGCCCTTTTGCAACTATCTGGTGTATGTGTCAGACCCAGCGTGATACTTACCTTCCGAAGTCCGGAATGTTCCAGTTAACCATGTGTTCTGGCCGAGTCCGGTAGCTTCGTGAGCTACATCGCCAACAGCGGCAGCCGAACGGGTCACGTGAACATCCTATGTTGCCAGCACACAACCGGACGGAGGCTACGTAGAAATGGAATATGGAGAAGCCGAATGCTGTTAAGGCTGTTATAGCTTATGTTGCTGGAACCGTGACTCTGTGAATGATGGGAACTGGGACGCTGGGTCTGACAACACTTGGATACCAGGAGGGGGTATTATAGGAAGAGGTTGAGTGGGACATTGGGAATGAGAATGGCGTGAACGGAACGCATGGACTCAATATAAGTTTCGAACATAAGTACTAGCTGGATCGGGGTGTCGGTGGGGTGGAGGACTATCACGAGGCAAGTATGGGGAGGGGGACAGGTGGATTCTAGATGACCAATTAACCGTCAATTGGGGTGTGTACTCTGGGTGTGGTTGGAGGAATGTATTTAGGGCAATGAATGGTGCTTTGTTCCAGTGCTAACTTAGTTTCAACTTAGTGAATAAAGCTTGTTGAATGCTGCAACGTTCCTGTTTCCTGGCTTTCGCGAAGCGCGGTTAGGACGTTCTGTTTAGTAAGTTAGCACTCACCCCAAAGCCATCTAGCTTACAGCATAATGGCGGAGGGGACACAGGGAGTGGAGCCGTTGGAGGAGGAGCAGTTGGAAGCTGCTGAGCAGATGGAGGTGCCGGTAGCTGGGGATACAGAGGCTCCTCAACTGGTGGTTCGACCAAAGGAGAAGCTGCAGGTTCCCGAGGCTACGGAGCATGTAGTGAAACCGCGAATGACCACAGCGTCAGACGGAGAGTGGTGGCTGAGTCCTGCATTGCGGCATCCGGAGGAGCGCGGAGACAGGGGATTGGTGCCGAGTTTGAGCGGATGGAGGGAACAGCGGGTCACTGGAGACGATGAAGATGAGTGGAGCTATTCCACGGTGCCGGGGCAATACACCTTGGACATTCTTAGAGACCAGTTTGTGGAGAAGGGTTATTCAGTTCCCGCTAGTATCCCTCCCCAGTCTAGGGCTGCCCCAGGGGCGCGTATAACATCTGAGTCCTCCCATTTCCAGTTAGCGAGTCCGAGGCTCAAATTACAGCCAAGTAGCCGCTTTCCCTTGCAGAATACCATGGGGAGGCAGGGCACAGCTGAACGTTCCCAATACCGGCAGGAGGCACGAGGGGCCGGAGTTCCGCCGGTGGATTCAGGTAGGCAAGGCGCGGGCCCAGTAGGCTCAGGTGACCGACCCATGTTACTTCCAGAAAATATCCCATATGGAGGCCAGATACCAGCTCCTTGGCCACAAGCCATGATGTGGAATCCACCTCCCATTACCCTTACTTTTGACGGCAATCCAGATCGTTTGGCTGTATTCTTAAGCCATGTGCTCAGCCACTTGGATCGTTTTACTACACTATGTCAGTCTAATTGGGTGATGGTGGTTGCAGTAACAGCCAGCCTACAAGGGGAAGCTGCTGCTTGGGCCGCTGACCTGTATAGCGACCATGCCAGAGAGCTGTTGGATATAGGATTATTCTTGGACGCCCTGAAAATGAGATTTGAGGATCCAACCCGACTACAACGGGAGGAAGCACAGTTAGTAGGTCTGCGACAGGGGGGCAGACCAGTACAAGATTATATATGGGACTTCCAAAAAGTGGCAGGAAGGCTTAGATCATGGCCAGACCATTTACTGGTCCATCATTTCCGCACGGGACTAGATATTAACCTACGCCGGGCATGTGTGGTTAGAGGGATCGTAGGACGCCTTTCCGAATGGTTCAAGGCAGCGGTGGAGTTAGATGTTGGGCTAAGGGAATTGCCTGGAGCACGTGAAGTACGGTTGCAGCCTCGTAGGGGCCAGGATCAATCCAAGGACAGTAGCAATCAGATGCCAAGTAGTAATGCACGTCCTAAACCGGTTTTTCGGTGTTTCCGTTGTAACCGGCCGGGTCACCGTGTGGCGGAGTGCACATTCCCCGAGTCAACTAACATACCAACAGCCGTGGGCAGACCCGGTACTACACCAAAGAAGATGACGGAGGAATCACGAGTCGCCCATCAAGTAGGACAAACAGGTGATATTTCTCCGGCATTGAAAGAATATGAAGAAGAAGGCCCGGTGGAGGATCCGATGGTGAGTGATCCCATAGTTCCATTCACCATCCCAATAACATTAACGAGTCCGGTTACCGGGGAGTCAGGGTCATTTCAGGCATTGCTTGATACCGGGTGCACTAGGTGTCTGATTAGTAAGGAGGTGGCCCGGCAGATGAGTATTAGGGTGACCCGGTTAAAGTCTCCAATTCGTTTCGAACAAGTAGATGGCTCCCTCTTGGGGGGAGCTCCGACCAACTGGGTGACGGAGCCTGTGAGGATGGAGATAGGTATTCACTGGGAGGTGATACGGTTTATAGTAGTGCCTACTATGTCCGAATCCATCATCCTTGGCCTAGCGTGGTTGGATAAATGGACCCCGAACATGTGGTGGGCGGATGGGTCCTGGCATTTAAGGCTTGCAGTAGGTCCCCAGCCACCCCATCCGGGTGAGCATAGTGAGGATAGGGCGGTTGAAGACTCGAAATCAGGGCTGGTTGGGAGTGATCCTGGATATCCGGCGGTGTATAGTGATCTGGCAGCAGTTTTTAGCGAGCAAGAATGTAATAGTTTACCACCCCATCGGTCAACGGCTTGCGCAATAGAAATTGTTCCTGGTGCGAGGTTGCCGAAACCCAGGATTTATCCAATGACATCTTTGGAGCTTCAGGAAATGAGGAAATACATAGATGAAAATCTGGCCAGAGGCTTTATAGAACCAGCACGTTCCCGGATAGTGGCCCCGGTATTATTACAAGGGAAAAAGGATGGAGGATTAAGGTTATGTGTGGATTTTAGGGGTCTTAACGCTGTATGCATAGAACAGACATATCCCCTGCCATTGATGAAAGACCTCCTTGCCCATCTAGTTGCTGGGAAAATCTTCACGAAATTAGACCTTCGTGAAGCGTACTATAGGGTGAGGATTAAGAAAGGGGATGAGTGGAAGACAGTGTTTAATTGCCCGCTGGGCAGCTACCAATTTAAAGTGATGCCTTTCGGGTTGCAAGGGGCCCCGGCTGTATTCATGCAGCTTATTAATGAAGTTTTGCACGAACATCTGTACCGGGGTGTGCTGGTATATCTGAATGATATACTCATCTATTCCCAAACATTGGAGGAGCATGTGAAGTTGGTGCGCATTGTGCTGAAAAAATTGTTAGACGCTCGGCTATATTGTAAGCTATCAAAGTGCAAATTTCACAAGGAGCGCATTGAATACCTAGGATTCTGAGTTTCAGCAGCCGGTATAGAGATGGATCCCAGTAAAGTACGAACTGTATTAGAGTGGCAAGCCCCAAAGACCCGTCGTCAATTACAACGGTTCTTGGGGTTTGCTAATTTCTACCGGCAATTTATTCCCTCTTTTGCTGATGTGGCACTTCCATTGACCCAGTTATTGCATACCAAGCATATTGCAGGGAAACCCCGCCCGGGACAATCCTTGAACTGGACTGTTGCTTGTCAAAGAGCATTCGAGTCCCTAAAGACATTATTCGCTCAAGAACCTGTATTAATACATCCTGATCCGGGGCGGTCGTTTGTTGTACAGGCCGATGCGAGTGACGTAGCAGTCGGAGCAGTATTATTGCAGCGTAATGACCAAGGTACTCTACAACCTTGCGCCTATACCTCCAAGAAGTTCACTGATATAGAAAGGCGCTGGGCGGTATGGGAAAAGGAAGCGTTTCCCGTGAAATGGGCCCTGTCCACGTGGCGCCATTTGTTGGAGGGCGCACAGCATCCCTTCGAGGTGTGGACAGACCACAAGAATCTAACGGTCCTCCAGATACCGAGGAGATTAGCTCCCAAACATGTCCGTTGGGCGCAATATTTCCAACGTTTTAGGTTCCATTTTAAAGTTGTTCCAGGAGGGAAGAATTTCTTAGCGGACGCACTCTCACATCTACCACAATACGACAGCAAAAAGGAAGAGGTGATCCAAGCTATTATGCCTTCTGGCAGTGTTGAAGTCATACGAGCAGATGCCTGCAAAAAAATGACAGCATTCGAGGATGAAGTAAAGTCTGCTTTGTTAAATGACTCTTGGTCACTAGCTAATCCTGGATTGTTGACCTACCGAGATGGTTTAGCCTGGTACGGTGATAGGTTATACATTCCACAGGGGTTATGGGACCGAGTGTACCACTGGTGCCATGATTCCAAATTAGCAGGCCATTTTGGTTTCTTGAAAACACTACATTTGGCGAGACGGCAGTTCTGGTGGCTGAGTTTGCGGAAGGACATTGAAAGCTATGTGAAAAGGTGTCATATTTGTGCACAGGCGAAGGTAATTCCTAAAAAACCAATGGGATTACTCCAGTCAGTGTCTAATCCAACTCGGCCATAGCAGGACATTGGGATGGACTTTATAGTAGATTTACCAAATGTAAAAGGATATACAGTTATATGGACGGTGGTTGATTTATTTTCAAAGCAGGCCCATTTCATACCGTGTAAGGGACTACCATCGGCGAGGAAATTGGCTAAAATGTTTGTACACCAAGTGTTCCGGCTGCATGGGGTGCCTCGCCGGATTATTTCGGACCGAGGTGTCCAATTTACAGCCCATTTCTGGCGGCAATTTCTGAAGTTTATTGGTACTGAGTTCTGCATATCACCCTTGTACTAATGGGGCGGCGGAGCGGGCCAATGCGGCTATAGAGAGATATCTTTGATGTTACGTGTCCTACCAACAGACCAATTGGGTAGATTTGGTACCATTTGCGGAGATTGCGTATAACAATGCGGTACATAAAAGTACTGGTCTAACCCCATTCCAAGTGGTATATGGACATGATATTGCTCCACTACCAGAAAGTAGAAACTGGGAAACCCAGGTCGGTCAACCAAATGAGTGGTTGTCGCGAGTAGGTAAGGTTTGGAGTACAGTACGACACGCCCTGCAGCGGGCAGCTCAGACATCAAAACATCAGGCAGATAAAGGTCGCAGAATGCCATTTCAATTGCGGGTAGGCGACCTGGTATATGTGTCAACCAAGTATATTAAGTTGCAGGTGCCTTGCAGGAAATTAGCACCAAAATACATCGGACCATTTCGTATACTCCAGATCCTCAATCCTGTGACGGTGAAGCTCCACTTACCGAAACTACTTGGTAAGATACACCCGGTTTTTCATGTAAGTTTGTTGAAACCCATGGGAGGACCGTTCCATGAGACACCCCCAGGACCTGTTACGCCAGGATGATATAAAATACAGGACATAATTGATTCACGAGTAAGGGGGGGTAGACTCTATTATCTGATATTGTGGAAGGGATACCCTCTGTCCGAAGCCTCTTGGGTAGAAAAACACGATATATCCGCCCCTAATCTAATCCGTCGGTATCACAGCGCACTACCACACAAACCAGGGAGTGACTAGAAAGGTTATTGTATCTGTACATTGGCATGATTAATCAATTTCCCATTTCTCACCATCAGGGGGCCCTGTGGTGAGGGGGGCTGAATGTCAGACCCAGCGTGATACTTACCTTCCGAAGTCCGGAATGTTCCAGTTAACCATGTGTTCCGGCCGAGTCCGGTAGCTTCATGAGCTACATCGCCAACAGCGGCGGCCGAATGGGTCACGTGAACATCCTATGTTGCCAGCACACAACCAGACGGAGGCTACGTAGAAATGGAATATGGAGAAGCCGAATACTGTTAGAGCTGTTATAGCTTATGTTGCTGGAACCGTGACTCTGTGAATGATGGGAACTGGGACGCTGGGTCTGACAACACTTGGATACCGGGAGGGGGTATTATAGGAAGAGGTTGAGTGGGACATTGGGAATGAGAATGGCGTGAACGGAACGCATGGACTCAATATAAGTTTCGAACATAAGTACTAGCTGGATCGGGGTGTCGGTGGGGTGGAGGACTATCACGAGGCAAGTATGGGGAGGGGGACAGGTGGATTCTAGATGACCAATTAACCGTTAATTGGGGTGTGTACTCTGGGTGTGGTTGGAGGAATGTATTTAGGGCAATGAATGGTGCTTTGTTCCAGTGCTAACTTAGTTTCAACTTAGTGAATAAAGCTTGTTGAATGCTGCAACGTTCCTGTTTCCTGGCTTTCGCGAAGCGCGGTTAGGATGTTCTGTTTGTATGCTTTTGGCAGAGAAACAGGATACTGTCCACCCACACAACCATTTCCTATGAAAAACAAAACACAAAACTAGACTGAGACAAGCACACATTTCACAGTCACATGAAATAAATATCTACATTTACTGTGTTGTGTATTATTATTTTTTTACCAGAACTAAAAACCCTTTGAAATGAGGCAATGGATCATCTCTGGCAAGACTGAGTTTTATATATAAGACACTAGAATCATAAGCCTGGTCATTTGGTTTCCCATGGCATCTGAACATGCTAAATAGATCTATCTACAACTATTGCTAGAAGTGCAATAGAAGTTGAACCACTTCAGTTCAAGTTCTCGGGAACCTCTTCATATATTCTTGAGCTACCATCAGATTTTGCCTAAAGCGATTTTCAAGGATTTTCTCTCAGTTGAACTTCAGTAGAGCTATAGAATTTCAAGGAGATCAACTTAATCTCTTAGGACTCTATGAAGTCACTCTCTTATATCACTGCACCATTTTCTAGTTTAGAAAGGGGTCTGTTCTTTGGCTAAAAAGATTTGATTCAAAGCTGCTGTTTTGTTTGTTCCACCGTCTCTGTTTTTATTATATTGCCCTTTTTTTGGGGGGGGGGTATTATTTCAATGACTAGTTGATTCTGTTATCCACCTTGACTTGTGCAAAGGCACTGTAGAGGTAAGACAGAATAACAAATGCAATTTTCAGCCGTTTTAACATTTACTTACAAGTTACAAAGAAAAACTAGTAGTTATTTTTACAGAAAACTTGGTGAAGTGCTACTTGCACTATTTGTGCTGACAATGTAAATTTAATGGAATGAGTTTAGTTAGAACACAACCAGCACAAAATCAGCTGACATCCCACATCTCTTGTATGGCTACAATAATTCCAGCTATACAATTATAGACTTTCTCCCTGATTCAGAAGAATTGCCCGTGCCTTTTTCAAGTGATAAAAACAATCAAAAGCAATTGTTGCGAGTTGTATAATTTATATAATGTAGCTAAATTGTGTGTATGTCACATGTTGGCAGGAACAATAAGAGGATTAAAGTACAATGTTACCAAAGATAAGAAATGCAGCTCTTCTAATTTGGTAATGTCAACCCAATGAGAAGTACCTTCTCTGGTGTTAGAAATGTGATATTTTGCCCTAAGGAAAGCAAAAACTGAAGCTGAGCTTTTGAAGGCATTTAGTTATCTTTTATGCTTATGAAATAAATAAAGTGCTACTTACATGAATGCTTAATGCTTTGCTGGATCAAACTAAAACTGTGTCTAGCTTCCAAAGAATCATGCATTCTGTTTCCATCCGATCATAGCCAACCAGAAACTTTTAGGCAGGGGTCTTCAAACTTGGCCCTTTATGACTTGTGGACTTCAACTCCCAGAATTCCTCAGCCAGCGTGCCTGGCTACAGCATCTCAGAATGGCTCTATTAAATCTCATGACTCAGCCCACTGCCTTTACATTCTGACAAAGTCATAATTGTAATATGCATCCCTAGAGCTGCTGCTGATACATTCTGAGCACATTGGTTTAAAAACTGATTTAAATGAATCATGTAAATGAACAAAATGGCAACTTGCATGGAATTCTCTTTGCTTTTTTAAAAACTAAAAAATGTCAAAAATCCATTGCAAAATAGCATATATTGCAGTTGTACATGTGTGAGTGCAGATACTGTAGCTGACAGGCCTAATATGGTAAATACATGCAGTACACAAACACAGATTAGCAGAAGCTGACCTAAACAATAATGATCTTATTATCTATTAGAGTCTTAATTTAAGGATACTCCAATTAAAGTTCACCTATAAGGTTACCAGCTTTCAACTCCATTGAACATACTGTGTGAACATTCTGTTGCAGCTATTGTGGCATCATGGAAATTAAATGCACTATAAAGACATGGCTAATTATCACTGAACTTGCCACTTCCTGTGTAGAAAGCATAATGATTTCAAGACAATATTTGTGACCTGTTTGTCTGACAACACCTTCTCTTGTTGACCCACGGCTCATATTGTAGCAGTTCCAACTCTGTATCTGCCTTGGTGGTTGCTGGGTTGGCCTAAGAGAAGTCAACGTGTCCTATTAAAAATGAACAAAGTTAATTATAAAGTTTGTAATGAAATATTTAAAATCTTTTTTTAAAAAAATGAATCGATGCATCCGTCTATAATTGTTTACACATTTAAAGCCCAAAGAGATGAGAAAATTCTAAGGAGAGAGGCTTTGACATTTTAACTTGCACTCTTTCTTTTACATACCACAATATTTCTGATACTGGTAAAAGTGAGTGGAAGAGTTAGGCTTAAATCACAGCAGACTTAAATCAGAAATGCCTTTTAGGATACTCATGGGAGAGATAAGCCCAACCTGGAGCATATATAATAATAATATTAAGAAAATATCTATATGTCACATCATTATTTCATCTATAAAATATGAATTCATGTATGAAATCTATAAAAACCTATGGATCTGTCAAATCTAAGGACTAATAATAATTGTCCCTTTTCCAATTTTACTTTGACTCTGTCTAAAAACAAGGCTTTAGTCTCACTATGAATCTCAGCCCCAGTGTAGATTTTCTTTTTGTCTTAACTCCCAATATCTCATTATCTATTCCTATGTATGATTTGGGGCTATGCAAGTCCAGCAGAGGCACTGCTTACCATACCTTTTATCCCAGCTGAACAGGAGCAGAGAAAACTGAATTGGTAGTTGTGGATAAACAAAACATTTAATGAAGCAATCTGTGGATCTACCTTTCATCAAAAAGGTAAAGATGTGATTATCACAATTGTGAGCTGTTTGACATTCTAGCCAAGCCCTGAACTGATTGTAAATAGATGAAGGCCTATGCAGACTAGAGCAGTGCAAAGGAATTGAAGGAGATGCTATGCAAAGCATGTTACCACTAACAAAGTATCTTTGTTCAAAGTGATAAAGCAGCCAAATTCTTTAAGGTTTTGTTAGCTTTGCCTGTTGCATCAACAGCTATATTTCTGGTTTTCCATATGAGTGTGAGCCTGCACAAATTTCTGCTGTGACTGTGCGAGAAGTAAAGAGGGGTGCTTTGCTCATGCTAGCATGCTTTGTGAAAAATTTCTTTTAAATGTTCTGCGCAGCTATAATACAAACCTACTGTAGTTTATAGAGGTTGGAAAGTCAAAGATTAAAACTGGTGCAGCATACTGGTTAGGATACCAGATTAAGAATGAGAAGTTCTAGGTTCTAATTGATTCCCAGTCATGGAAGGTCATTGGTCTCTTTGATTCCTTCTCAGCTCAGCCTATTTCTCAGAATTATTGTTGTTCACCCTGGCCTGCTGTGTTGCTCTGCCTACTACTATCTTGGAAAGGAAATTCAAAAAATTCCCTTATAACGACAGATTATGTCTTTATAGATTCAAATGCAGTGGAACCTTTAAACTATATTTTATTACACTGGTTCTTCTACAGAGATATTAGGGACAGAAGAATTGCATCTCAGAAGATGGTAGAATTCTAACAATAGAAGTCACATTGAATAAAATAAAAATAGCTCTAGTGGGAATTTATGCCCCGAATGAAGGGCAGAAACAATTTTATAAAAAATTACATAGTATTATTAGTGAGTTTGAATATGACAATATCTGTATAATGGAGATTTTAATGAAATTGTGGATAGACATCTAGATTATAAAAGTGATAAGATTAGAAAAGGAATTAGAGGAATATTACCCAGTACCTTCCTAAAAATGGTGGAGGAGTTTAATATTTAGGATATTTGGAGGGAGAGGAATACAGGGAAAAAGCAGTATACTTATTATTCGGGTCAACATCTATCATGGTCCATAATTGATATGGCATGGTTGTCCGTAAATTTAAATTCGGAAGTGGAAGTTATTACAATCGAAACAAACTCTTGAGCTGACCACAACCCATTTAGAATTAGATGGAGAGGGCAAAAGAAAATAAGGAGATGGACTCTGAAAAGAGCAATTCTAAAACATAAAGAATTTAAATTGAAAATGGAAGACCAAATGGGTCTGTTTTTTCAGATGAACAAAAAGGAAGATACAAATTGCCAAAACTTATGGGACATAGCCAAAGCTTACATGAGAGGTGTTGCAATTGCTTACACGGCCAAGGAAAATAAAATCAAGCTACAGCAACAAAGAAAGCTAGAAGAAGAACTTAGTAGGGCTGAGGAAAAACTACAAAATGGACGACAAAGACGTGACTTGAAACAACAAATAGACCTAATTAAGCACAAGATGAACACTATCGAAAAGGAAGAATTGGGGCAGCAAATAAAACATACCAAGCAAAACTTTTTTGAAAACGCCAATAAACCGGGGAAATGGTTGTCTTACAAATAAAGAAACATAATGATAAAAAGAGGATTAGTAAACTATACAATGAAGAAGGTGACATGGTGTATCAGAATGAAGGGAAGAAAACGGTGGCCTATGAGTTCTATAAGAAATTATATAAGGTTGAAGGACAGAAAAGTAATGATGATATACTAAAATATTTGCAAGTAGCTGAACTACTGAAAGTTCCAGAAGAGATTAAAAATATGTTGAACAAAGAGTTAACATTTCTAGAACTATCAGAGGCAATTAAGAAACAAAAAAACAATAAAGCCCCAGGTCCAGACAGTTTACCAGCAGAAATATATAAAATTTTGCAAGAATCTTTAAATCCAATATTCATAGAACTATTTAATGAGGTCCTAAAAAATGCAAAAATACTGGTTTCATGGGAAGAAGCAATTCTTACATTTATCCCCAAGGAAAACTCAGATTCGGCATTTATTAAAAACTATAGGCCTATTTCCTTATTATATTCAGATTATAAAATATTTATGGCCATAATGGCTGAAAGACTTGAAAGATTCTTAGTAGAATTTATACATATGGATCAAAATGGTTTTTTACCCAAAAGATATATAAGATATAACATTAGGATTGTATTGGATGTACTGGAATATTATGAGGTTCACAATGAAAAACAAATGGGATTAATTTTTCTTGATGCACAAAAAGCATTTGATAAGGTGAAATGGGATTTCATGCTTAACCAACTGGTGTATATGGAATTTGGGGAGAATTTTATAAATATGTTTAAAGCAATTTATTCCAAACAGGCAGCTAAAATAATAATTAACGGAGAAACAACTGAAAGTTTTCAAATTCAAAAAGGCACAAGGAAAGGTTGTCCACTATCTCCATTACTGTTTGTACTGTTCCTGTAGGTATTAACTAGAATGATTCGGAAAGATGAGCAGATCAAAGGATTAGAGATTAAGAGAGAAATATTTAAAATGCAAGCCTTTGCAGATGATCTTGTTTTTATAATTGAAGAGCCATTACAATCAGGGACAAGGCTAATGAAAGTACTGGGTGAATATGGTGAAATAGGATTATAGATAAATAAAGAAAAAACTAAAATGCTTGTTAAGAATATGACTAGAACCCAGAAAAATGAACTACTTGATAGATTAGGCATCCAGATTACAAAGAAAATAAGATACTTAGGGATACAATTAACAGCTAGATGTGCCACACTTAAAGGAGACAATTATGATAAATTAATGGAACAGATTAAAACTGATTTGGATACCTGGTCAAATCTACAGCTCTCTTTTATGGGAAGAATTGCTGTAATTAAAACGAACATGCTACCCAAAATACTATTCTTGTTTCAATGCATAATGATCAAATTAGATAAGGATTTTTTTTTGAAATTTTAATCAAACCATACTTAAATTTATTTGGCAAGGGAAAAAAGCAAGGACTAAATTAAAATTATTGCAAGATTCTAAAGAAAGGGGCAGATTCGGTCTCCCAGATTTGGAAAAATACTATCAAGCTACAATATTAATATGGGCTCAGGACTGGATACAATTGAAAAATAGGAGATTATTAAGATTGGAAGGTCATGATATGCAGATTGGGTGGCATGCTATGTTATGAGACAAGAAATATAAGGTTCACCAGTACTTCCGGAGGCATTACATCAGACGAGTGTTAATAGATGTATGGGTTAAAATTAGGCAACAAAATTATATGCAAGTTCCCAATTAGATTTCAACATCGGAAATGCACATACACCCAATGTTTATACAATTAGGGAAAGTAATAATGTATAAACATATATTAGATGAGAGAGGAGAATTGAAATCAAGGAAAAATCTTCAAGATGAAGGGATAGAATTGCAATGGTGGGCATATCTCCAACTGCAATCAAGATACAGGGAAGGTAAAAAAGAGTGGGGTATAAAAACAGTCGATAGAACTAGATAAAATATTATTAGGAATTGAGAACAAAATGATTAAAAGAATATACCATTACCTTCTAGATCAGGCAATGTATGAAGAGCAAGTCAAGGAAACTATGTTAATGTGGAGTAGGGACTTCAGCTTTAATGTTGATCTGCACATCTGGCAAGAATTGTGGGAAAGAAACAGGAAACTCACCTTAGCTACCTCTTATAAGGAAAATCTCTACAAGATGTTTTATAGATGGCATTTCCCACCCACAAGTTTAGCCCAAATGGGCCCAAATCTCTCACCCATATGTTGGAAATGCAAAATAGCAATAGGGACCTACTACCATATGTGGTGGGAATGTCCTAAAGCTTGTGATTATTGGAATAGGATAAGAAAATGGTTGAAAGAAATATTAATGTTGGAGACAGAGCTAAAACCTGAACTTTTTTTTACTGAGCATAACCACAGAGAAATATGGTAAGGGGATAGTTTATTTGATGCTGCACATCTTGACTGCTGCCAGATTGGCGTTTGCACAAAAATGGAAGAACAAAGAAACTCCCACAGAGGAAGAGATACTATATAAAATACTATCTTATGCTGAAATGGACAGGCTTATGATGGAACTGAAGGATAAAAGTGGATCAGAATCCTTTGAAATCTGGGATAAATTTTACTATTGGTGGGAATCGAGGAGGACTGTTGGGGTTATAGATTAGCATTAAGATGGAAATGTATATAATCTTAGGTTAACAAATAGAGAAACGGATTAAATATTGTATAAAAAACTCATATGTATCTATAGAGATAAAGAACTAAATGTAAG